AAATAAAATAAATGCGGGGGAGAGAGAAAGAAGAAAGCGCTTCGGAGCTTCTCATAAAACGCTGGCCGCGCTTATAAAAGTGCACATAAAAAAGCTCGGCCGGGCCGCGGCTCGACCTACCGGCGGCGCCGCTCTTGGAGCCGTCCTTGGCTCCGGGCGCCGAGCCGGGCTTGGCGTTCTCCTCCTCCTCGTCCTCCTCCTCGTCCTCGCCGTGCGGCCCGTCGGGCGCGGAGCCCTCGAGGAAGCGATCGAAGCCCTGCGGCAGCACGGAGCCGCGGCTGGGCGCGGGGTGGAGCGCGGCCGCGGAGTGCTGCTGGTGCTGCTGGTGGTGCTGGTGCTGCTGGTGGTGGTTTTGGTGGTGCTGGTGGTGGTGCTGGTGGAACTCGTCGCTCTTCACCAGCACCTCGGCGGGCGGGATGCACTCCCTGTGCAGCAGCTCCTCCGCGGGGCAGCACGCCGCGTAATTCCCGCGCGGGTGCCACTTGGCCGAGGGCTCCAGCGCGTAGGGCACCTCGCGGGGCACCTGCGCCAGGTTGGCGGCGTACGGGTACGAGATCTGGCGAGCGGGGGCGAACGGGGGCACGGCCGGGAAGTCGGGCACGTAGTAGGTGCAGCTGGGCAGGTACAGGTTGCCCGCGCGGTCGCCGAAGTCGCCGCCGCCGCGCTCCTTGCGCGTCTGCGAGGGGCAGAAGTTGCCCAGGTTCACCGAGTTGAACATCCTGGCCCCGGCGCTGTGGAGGGGCTTTTTTTGGGGTTTTGTTTTTTTATATATAAGCCGCGCTGCTCGGGGTTGAGAGGTTTTTTTTTTTTTCCTCCCTGAGCTTTTTTTTTTTTTTTTTTTTTTTTTTTTTTTTTTTTTTTTTTTTTTTTTTTTTTTTTTTTTTTTTTTTCCTGTGTGTGTGTGGAAAGAGCGGGGGAGGGAGGGGGAAAAGCGGCGCGGAGGGTGAAAAAAAAAGGGAATTTTGGGGAGGCGAGGATGACGCGCGCTCCGCCTCAGTCGCTGCCGAGCTCCACGTGATGCCGGAGCAGAAATTGTCATTTATTTGTCATTTATCGGCCGGGAGCGCCGCAGGAGGGGCCGCGCTGCGGTAAGAGCCGGGCCCGGCCCCGGGCAGCGAGAGCCGGGCCCGGCCCGGGGGCGGCTCCGGCCCCGGGGGCGATTCCTGCCCCAAAGCGGGGCGATTCCTGCCCAAAAACGGGGCGATTCCTGCCCAAAAACGGGGGCAATTCCTGCCCCAAAGCGGGGCGATTCCTGCCCAAAAACGGGGCGATTCCTGCCCAAAAACGGGGGCAATTCCTGCCCCAAAGCGGGGGAAATTCCTGCCCAAAAACGGGGCGATTCCTGCCCAAAAACGGGGGCGATTCCTGCCCCAAAGCGGGGGCAATTCTTGCCCCAAAGCGGGGGCAATTCCTGCCCGATCCGGGGGCAATTCCTGCCCCAAATCGCGGGAAATTCCTGCCCCAAATCGCGGGAAATTCCTGCCCCAAATCGCGGGAAATTCCTGCCCGATCCGGGGGCAGCTCCGGCTCCGGGGGCAATTCCTGCCCCGGGGGCAATTCCTGCTCCGGGGGCAATTCCAGCCCAGTCCCGAGGGCATTTCCAGTCCCGAGGGCATTTCCAGCCCCGGGGGCATTTCCATCCCGGGTTAGGGGCAATTCCTGCCCAGCCCGGGGGCAATTCCTGCCCAGCCCGGGGGCAATTCCTGCCCAACAGCGGGGGCAATTCCTGCCCGGCCCGGGGGCAATTCCTGCCCAACAGCGGGGGCAATTCCTGCCCGGCCCGGGGGCATTTCCATCCCGGGTTAGGGGCAATTCCTGCCCGCCCCGGGGGCATTTCCATCCCGGGGGCATTTCCAGCCCCGCTCCCGCTCCGCGGCTCCCAGCGCAGCCCCCGCCTGGGGAACTTGGTGGGGTTTTTATCCCCTCCTTTCTCGCTCTTTTCTTTTTTTATTTCTCCTCCTCGCGTTTTTGGTTTTTTTTTGGTTTTTAACTGTGTTTTTCCTCTTTCCCCCTTTCTTCCTCTTTTTCTTTCTCCTCTTCTCACTCTTTTTTGTTTCCTTCCAATTTTTTACTGTAGTTCTCCTCTTTCCCCCTTTCTTCCTCTTTTTTTTCTTTCTCCTCGTTATTTTTATTTTACTTACATTTTTTTTTCCATTTCCCCCTTTCTTGCTCTTTTTTTATTCTCTCCTCTTCTCCCTCTTTTTCTCTTTATTTTCCTTCCATTTTTTGCTGTTCCCCCGCCTTTATTCCTCTTTTTCCTTCTCTCTCTCCCTCTGCTTGCTCTCTTTCTTCCAATTTTAAAATTGTTTTTTCCCCTCTTTCCCCCTTTCTTGCTCTTTTTTCTCTTCTTCCCCTTTCTTCCCCTTTTCTTTTCTTCCTCCCTTTTTACTCTTTTTTCTTTTTATCTCTCCCCTCTTCTCGCTTTTTATATTTTTATTTTTCTTCCAATTTTTTCCCTTTCCCCCTTTCATTCTCTTTCTCTCCTTCCCTCTCTTGTCGCTTCTTTTCTTTTTCTTCCAAGTTTTTCTGTTTCTTCCCCTCTTTCCCCGTTTTTTGCTCTTTCTGCCCCTTTTCTTCCTTCCCCCTTTTTTCTCTTTTTTCCCTCTCATCCCTTTTTTGCTCTTTCTCATTTTCTTCCCTTTTCACCCGTTTTTCTTCTCCTTTTTTTCCTCCCTTTTTTTCTTCCTCCCCCTTTTTCCTTCCCCTTCTCGCTCCTTTTTCATCCTTTCCCTCCCTTCTCGCTCTTTTCCTTTTCCTCCTTTTTCTCCATTTTCTCTTTTTTCTTCCCTTTTTTCTTCTTCTTTCCCCTTCCCTTTTCCCCTTCCCTTTCCCCTTTTTATTCCCTCTCTTTTTCCCCTCATTTTCTCTTTTTTTCCCCTTTCTCCCTTAATTTTCTTCCCTTTTTTCCACCTTTTTTCCACCTTTTTTTCCCTTTTTTCCCCATTTTCCCCTCCCGCCGCCTCCAGCGGGGCTTGGCGCTCCAAGGGCTGGAAAATCCCAATTTTATCAAGATTTTAATCACTCTGATTATTCTAATTTATTATTCCCATCCCTGCAAAAGCTTCAGGCAGCTCCATAAAACCTCGGGAGTTGCAGGGGGAACTTTTTCCCCAATAAACGGGAATTCAGCGAAATTATAAATCCCTCCCGACCGGGGGAATTAAGCGCTAATTAACGAGCCCCTAACAAACGCTAATTACTCCTCTGCGCGTGCTTTTGATGGAAAAAATTCCGCTCCGGAGCGCGCGAAGAGTCCCAACTTTAAACCCGGAGCAGGCCCGGAGTTTTTAAATGTATTTTACATGAATTTAAAATGATTTTTAAATGTATTTCAAATGAATTTTAAATGATATTTAAAATTATATTTTAATGATATTTTTCATGAATTTAAAATGCTGTTTTTAATGAATTTTGGTGCGGATTTCGCGGATTATCGAGGAAAATAAAGGAAATGAAATCTCTGCCTGATCAATATTCCAAAGTCTCCCTTCTCCCTGAAATATTTATCCCGGTATTGAATATTTCATGCGCGGGTTTATTGTCAATCAATGGCGGCGCTTCCCTCGTTCAGTCCCGAATTAAAATGAAAAAAAAAAAAAAAAAAGAGAATTTTGATTAAAGTCGTTTGTCTCGCGCCTGGAATCCTCTCTGATCCCCGTCCTGCTGGAATTTATCCCGGGAAAAAAATCGAAATATCGGAGCGCGGACGGATATTGGGTGGGTTCGCCTCGGAATTGTCCAAATTTAATTTTTGAAAAAGGGATTTTCATTTAAAAGAATCGCTCGGGAAGGGGAAAAATCTGAATTTCTGCGGGATCGGGGCTTTTCCCGCCTCATTCCCGCAGTTCTGGAAGAGCGAAATTCCCTGGAATAATTGGGGATAAATCGGGTTTTTCTCCTGGGTTGGGATTTCTGAGCCTTCCCCGATGGAAAAACGGGAAATTCGGGGTTTTAAAAATTTTTTCATCAATCTAGCAGGAAATATAAGGGAAAAAAGAGAAATTTCAGGAGTACGAAAAGCCTCGACGGCCGCTGTGGGTTCGCTGAGATTAAAAAATCGAAATAAAGCAACAAATCCACCCCAAATAATCGGAATTTCACCCACAGATCGCCCGGATTTTACCGCAAAATAACAAATTCATCCCAAGAAATGGGAATTTCACCCCTAAATAATGGCAATTTCAGCCCCAAATAACAAATTCACCCAAAAATAACGAGAATTTCACCCCTAAATAATGGGAATTTCACCCCACATAAAAAATCCACCCTAAGTAATGGGAATTCCACCCCAAAATAATGGGAATTTCACCCCAAAATAAGAAATCCACCCCAAAATAATGGGAATTTCACCCCAAAATAAGAATTCCACCCCAAAATAATGGGAATTTCACCCCAAAATAAGAAATCCACCCCAAATAATGGGAATTTCACCCCAAAATCCCAAAGGGGCGCTCCGGGCTGGCTCCTCCATGCTCTCCCCAATTTAATTCCATTTATTTCGCTCCCATCCACTCGCAGTTGGATTTTTTTCCATGGGGGTCACGAAATTCCAGGGGAAAAAGTGGGAAAAATGGGAAAAAATCTCCCTGGAGGAGCGGGGCAGCGGCTGAAAATCAAAATATCCCGAAAAAAAGGGGGAAATTGTTGATTTTCCTGGAGCGAAGAGCCCCGCTGGCAAAAATTCCCGAGGAGGAAAATCCTGGGAATTGCGGCGGCGCCTCCCGAGCCCCGCCGGGAATTCCGCCCGGGATTTTGGGATTTGTTGGGAATTCTCGGAGCCCGCGCCCGCCTCGCTCGCCGCTTCCCATTCCAAATAATTCCAATTAATTTCGGGCTTTCCCCACCCTTTTCCTTTGGCTTTGTCCTCCCCGTTCCCATAAAATCCCTTTCCCCGTTCCCATAAAATCCCTTTTTTTCCCTTTTTATAAGGGACCGGGGCGGGCTGAAAACACAAATAAATATCCCCGGAATTGAGGGACGAGGGGTTTTATCCCAATAAAACTGGAAATAAAAACCGAAATAAAAACAAATAAAAATCCGCCACTCCGAGCCGGAATCCAGGAATTTTTCCCTGTTCCTAATCCCATTTTTTTCAATCTTTTTATGGCGTTTTGGGGCAAAACTTTTAATTAAAGTGTCAGCGCGGCTTTAAGCGGGGTTTTTATGGGGCGATATTAATCCCGGACTCCGAACTAACGATCTTCTGGGATTTTTTATGAGCTTAATTATTATTTTTTTACCCCACGCAATTCCCTCCACTGGAGCATCTCCCTTTAAAATGGGGAAAAAATGGTTTAAAATTCACTTTTTAGGGGAATTTTGGACCCCACGGGAAGCTCCGAGCGCGGGTTTTTAACCGGAGGGGGAATTCGAGCTCGTCCTAAAATCCTGAAACCCCAAAACCCCCCAAAATAACCCAAAAATAACCCAAAATCGGAGGGAAAAAGGATTTAAATCCGAGCCCGGGCGTGGGGCCGGGGTTTAAAGGCGGATTTTGGGGTTTAAAGGCGGGTTTTGGGGTATAAAAAGGAGGTTTTGGGGTATAAAAAGGAGGTTTTGGGGTTTAAAGGCAAATCTTGGATGTAAAAATGAGTTTTTTCGGGGTTTAAATGCGGGTTTTGGGGTGTAAAAAGGATTTTTTGGTGTTTAAATGAGAGTTTTGTGGTGCAAAAAGGTTTTATTTAGGGTTGAAATGCAGGTTTTGGGGTGTAAAAAGGG